CAGGCAACACAGATAAACAGTGAACATCTACTTTTTCACATCAGTTAACCTTTCGCTTATTAATGGGTGATAAAAAAACGATTTACACATGTAAAAAGTTACATATAGAACCTTTAAAGTCATTCTTTGTGTGCTCGCTCATGATGACATTTGAGACGACAGAGTGGTTGTCCATGTCCATGTTCACTGAGGTTTACCGGTGGTCTCGTGTTTGTAGTCAAGCAGCTGCTCGATTCTGATTGGTTGGAGTGGTGTGTTATTATTTTTTTACATTGAATGGTGGCCATGAAAAGATAAAAATTAATATCTAAAAAGACACATATTGTCACATATAGCACTCTACGTTTTTTATCCTTGTTCCATTTTACTCCTTCTTCCCTCCAAGTTTTCGCAACCCCCCTGGTACTTTCTGGCGATGCCCCAGGGGGTCTGGACTGGACCCCTACTTTGAAAAACACTGGTCTAAGACACCATATAGCCTCAGCAGCCACCTTGAGACACCATGATTGGGTCACTCACACATAGAGTATCTTCAAGTGAAATAAGATTATCACAAGGGAAGAATACTTTTCAGATGAAACTTGTCCAAATCACATACAGGCCTTGAATGGCTGAAGTAAGTGACTTAGGCCTATCTGTTCCATGATGCTAGGTTTCCTTTGGGACAGGACATGCAACTGAGCTCAAATTAAGCTTCAGTTAAGCAGAAAAAAAAGGGAAAGGTATTGGAGATGAAAAGTGGACGTGCCTCTGAATTCTGCCCAAGTAAGCAAAAAGAATGGCATAGCTTAGCTTACTTGACACTGTGAAGAAATTATAAAAGGAGGAAAGGCCTTTATGCGTCAGAACATAATTGTATGTCTTTAATTAAAACAGGAGCATTGTTTAAATCAGGGTTGGGCAACTGGCGGCCCGGGGGCCACATCAACCCTCAACTTGGCCCTCAGATCAATTTTTACATATCCATTAATTAATATACATGATGAAAACATGACATGATCTGCCATGAAATCATGAAAACCAGAAATATGTCCATAATAATTAATCAAATTGAGTTAAATTTGTGACATAATTGACTGTAATCGTTTTTTTCTAGACTACAATGTGGCCCTCTGGCAGTGAGAATTAAATAAATGTGGCCCTTGATGTGACCAAAGTTGCCCATCCCTGGTTTAAATCATAAATAGGCCATATTTAGCAAAGACTATTCATACTGAATTGTTGCATTAACGCTGCTTCTCGGTTGGACTACAGCTCCCATGGTGCATTGCACGGATACACGGGACGACTTCCCGAGTTCACAGTTCAACTACTCCCATGCTTGTTTTTAGTAGAAGTGGCGCCGAGTATGTCCAGAATGTGGCCAGTTTTTTTAGTTCTACTTTGAGTGTTGTCTTTTCGTTGTGTGTTTGTCGGCTCCCTCGTGTGACGAGCATGCCCGTGAACGCATCAAAGCGCCAGCTGATTGAGCTGATCTATCGCCACCTGAAGGAGCAAGGTTTCCACTCAGCTGCAGATGAGCTCCAGAGGCACAGCCCACAGGTCAACACTGCCACACACCGTACACACACACACACACACACACACACACACACACACGCACACGCACGCGCACACATAAATAGCCTACATGCAGACACACAGTGCTGTAAACAGTGTCAGTGCTCGCAACAGTGTTTCAAGTGCTGCATGACAATGCTAAAGTGTTGTAATGTAAACAGTAGTTGTTTCGCTTTCTATTTCTGTGAAATCGCCATAATTACCTGATGACTACAAAAGTCTGGTGTCCTGTTTTAAGATTATCGCCATGTAGGCCGACATAAACCGTGCGTAACATTACTGAAATGTGTTTTCAGTGTAAAGGGCTGAGTGTGCTTTATCTAGGCTATCACATTCCTTTTTCAAGTTGTCATCTAAACATCAATATTTATTTATATTACAAAAATATCTCAAATTTAAGTTATTTAAAGATGTGTACACGCAGCTCTAAGTTAAATTGCAGAAATATCGATGCAGATTAGAACAGTTTTGAATGAAAACGGGACATCGTAAAAGCTACTGTTTTTTAATACACACAGATAACCTAACTCAATAAGTTATGGTCACTTCCATTGAACAATAATGTAGGCTAGATAAGGGCAGTGATTCAGAAACGGGTTGAACAAGGGTATTCCATAGTTTGATTTATTCTCTGGCCATAAAATTGATCGATTTTAATTGGTTGTCTGACAAAAACGTCCTTGTATTTTAACAATCACTGTAACAGGAGCATCGCTAATGTGATTTTTTTTCACCTGTGCTTTTTCTGTTCAAACAAGACAAAATGTGTGTTCTTAAAATAAATCAATCTTGTTCATTTGATAAATGGAACTGATGTTGCGCTATTAAGACAAGTTTGCATAGTATTGCAATGTTATACATCTTAAAGCGTATCTCATAAACTTAACTTGAACTTCAGCATCATACGATGTTTTTGTTTGTTTTTTTCCACAGGAGGGGACAAACATATCTACCTCTTTATCGGACATCTACAAATCATGGTTAAAGTGAGATGAATTTGCATTCTTGCGAAAGTTGGCTTGATTTTTTTGTTAATGATGGCGTGTGTGGTTACAGAGTGTTGTTTATGTTCCTGTCAGGGACTCAAAAAAGAAAAGGAAACCTGACTCCAGTTTTAAAGAACAAGGAGGGACTCCTGTGGTGGTAAGACAGTTTTAGAAATATCTTTATTATCACTTTCATTCCCCTCTCTCTTTAACTTAAACAATAAATCCTTCACAGAGGCATTTAGTTTGCTATAGTTATTTGTAAATGACAAAAGATCATTTTTTCTGGTTGTTTTGATATCTATAGAGATTGATTTCGAAACTGACTCCAGGGGGGGGAATTAAAATAAACCAACACTAAAAGCCAAGACAGAAAAAATAAGTTGCAAATATTTAATACTCCTCTTAGGTCAAGACTCCCAAGAAGAAAAGCAGCAGCACATCTGTTAAGGACACTCCAACAGCTGCATCCAGGACAGATGTAGCAGCGCCGTCTCTTGGTACAATAGACGTTTTGTAGTCACAGAAATTTGTAGTCAGTAAAAGATGTTTTATACTTGAATGCATTTTTAACCTATACCACACTTTCTATGTGCAGCCGCACTAAAGAAAAATAAAAAGAAGGATAAACCTGCCACAAAAGTAGAGACACAAAAGAAGAAGGTGAGTTATTGTGTATGCTTTTTTTTTCAGGAACAGGGTAGCTGCTGGTTGAAAAAGTGGAACTGGTCACTAAGGGTACTTTTTGTCCTTCTTGTGTGTTTTAATTTCATTTTCTTAGCCCGTGCCAGCAAAAAGTAAAAAAGGTGAAGGAAAATCAGCAGTCACAACAAAGGTGAAGAAATTAAAGCCCCAAAGTAAAATCAAGGCTGTGGCTGCTGGAGGCGACGAGTCTGACTCTGACAGCAGTCTGGATGTTGAGAAATGGAAGAAGCGGCTCCTGCAAATGACAGGTAGGCAAGTAGTGCAGGAAAAGAGCCGTTAAAGGGGATCATTTGTGTGCAAGCTTGTCAATGATGGAAGGAGAATTTCAGAAATGTGAAGAGAGAGAGATCACAACAACCTCATTAGGCCAGATAGTTTGGTTGTTATTTAGAAAAATACAACAGATATAGCCATGTAAATATCTTTGTTTACTTTATCATCACAAAAAGTGCATTTTGGAGATGTTTTTGAATTACAAAGAAATAGACTGAAGGTTGAGTTGGTTTAAAAATGCAGGAATACAGTAGTGTGTGTGGTATGAGTTCAAGTTTAAGGGTAAAAAAGACTTGAAACACCATCCATGAAAAACCTCACCCTGGAAAATAGTGATTTCATACAAACAGAGCTGTGTACTATCCCTCTGTAGTTGATGTTTAGACATTTGTATGCCATCATGCCATGTTTTTTTTTTTATGTCTTCATGTTTCCTTGAACTACAGAAGCTGACGCAGCCAAGATGGACACCATCAATTCTCTGGACTCCTCTGCGCCACCACCCAAGAAAACAAGAGTGAGAAAACCCCGGGCTAAGCCTCCGCAAAAAACAAACGCCATCATCATTCAACCGAATACTGAGACAGCGGAAAACAGTGAACAGGTGGGGGAGAAAGTTGTGACACCAACAAAAAACAGTAAACCTAAGCGGAGCCGATCGAAAAAGACTGCACCTGCAGCCTCCTCCACCCCACTGAGCAAAGAGCAAAACATCGCCCCTGTAGAGGATCCAGTAACATCACCTGTCTCCCCATTAAAACAGACACCAAAGAAAGAGAAAAGAAAAGTTGTGAGTCCCAGTGAAGACAAATCTGAGGAGGCAGCGTCTGAGCCCAAGAAGAAGAAGAAGAAGAAGAAAGAAGTGACTGAAGACGAGGTGGAAGAGAATGCAAAGACAGCACTAGACAGTAAAGAGAAAAGGAAAAAGAAGAAGAAAGTCACGGAGGAAGAGTCTGGTGATAAACCTGCAGAAGAAAAGAAAAAGGCAAAAGAAACAAAGGGAGATGTTGACATGAACGAGACAGAGGAAATCATAGAGAACAGAATTGGACATGTAGAAAATGAATCAACTTCTGAACAGATAGTGCTAGAAAAGAAAGCCAAGAAGAAGAAAAAGGAGAAAACTGCTAGTGATGAAAATTCTGAGCAGACAAATGAAAATGTCATAGAAAATACACAGCAAGAAAGTAAAGAAAAGAAAACCAAGAAGAAGAAAAAGACACTTTATACTGAGGAATATTTAGAGCAGACAAATGAAAATGTCATAGAAGATACACAGCAAATAAGTGAAAAAAAGAAAACAAAGAAAAATACACTTGATGCTGATGAAAATTCTGAGCAGGCAAATGAAAATGTCAAAGAAGATACACAGCACACAAGTGAAGAAAAGAAAGCGAAGAAGAAGAAAAAGACACTTGATGCTGATGAAGATTTACAGCAGGTAGCTGAAAATGTGCAAGAACATTCAGAGCAGATAGACGAAGAAATGACAGCAGAGAAGAGGAAGGAGAATGCTTGTAGTGAGGAAAATTTAGAGCAGGTAATGAAAAAAAAGAAAGCCAAGAAGAAGAAAAAAGGCAATCCTGATGAGAACACTTCAGAGCAGATGGTTGAGGAAAAGACATCGGAGACGAGTGTCATTGAGGAGACACCAGAGCAGATTACTGAAGTCAAGAAGGAAATGGAAGAGGACTCTTTATTGGAAAATAATTCAGTCGACATAGAGCTGCTAACTTTACCCAACCCTGAGACACCAAGTCCTCAAAGAGAGAAGAAGAAAAGTAAGTAGATAACTCAGGAATTCTTAAAAAAAAAATCTAATTTCGCTGTTTTTGCGTGTTTAAATTGACCCCCTTGTTTGTCACTTTCAGAGAAAAGCAAGTTAACATCAGCCGAGGACCCTGAAAAAGACTCCACAGCAACAGAGACCCTAGAAACACCTGTAGGTGACAGCACCAAAAAGAAGGTATCACAAAACTGCATCCTTCAACATTTTAAAATGTTTCAGATCAAAGTTGTTGTTGTAAATCAAAATAACATGTTTGAGTCCTACAGGATTATTTTTGCAATTGATCGTATCTTTTCTTTTATTCTCGGCAGAAAAAGAAATCCTCAAAGAGTCAAGAAGATGTTTGATTCTTTATCGCTGCAGAACAATGGGATGAACAGCGTATCCTCTCCATCCGTTTTCTAATCACATTTATTTATAATGGTTAGAAAGATTGCTTAATACATAATAACTCATTGTTATTTTAATATGTTTTTAAAATCTGTTTCTAGTTTAGTTTTTTATATACTGTGTGTTGCCCACCATGACACTGCTTTGATTTTTGTGATAATGTCATTTTGATGACGTTTTCATATGAAAATTGATTTTGTATAAGTGATTTTGTTAATGGAATGGATCCTCTCTCTTATGATGTCTCAAAGTTAAATTCAGTCATTGTTTGAACAGATTAATTCTCATACCATCTCAGGAATTTGTCTTATTATGGTCCTTTAATCTCACTTTGTGAAACTTCACATAGATACATCACAGCATCTATTCGACCTATTTTATATTTATGCAGAAAAATATGGGAAATTATTTTGACAACTTTTTTTTGTTTGTGAAAAGCATGTTTTCTATAGAAATTTTAAATGTCTGGTAAGGTTTTCATATTTGCATTGTACATAATGCTTTTAATACAAATTAAAGTCCCTAGTTTTTTTTACACTTTGCTGAAGTCTTTCTGGTCTGATGTTTTGAGCATGAAGTGGCAGAAACAGATGATTTCTGTCTTTATAACCCTATAAAAAGATGGACAATATGCCAGCTCCCCTAGGTGAAGCCTGTGCATTTGGAGCTTCTACTGACTAGCTGCAGTATAACATGGTTTCTGTCATTAGTTATTTGTTACGCTGATTTATTTATTTTTTTAGTAGTAATAATTTATTTTGGTCACAAGAAAAAAACAAAAACATTTTGACAGAAAAGGTGTAGGCTGAAGCTTTAGCTTATTACACCTACCCTTGTTACAAATCGTATTATTTAAGACACTACTAGTTTGGTTACAAAAAAAAAGAACATATAAGAACAAAGTTTGTTCCAAGAATTTCTCTCAAAACAAAACAAATGAAACAAACAAACAGAAGTCGAACTCAAAAAATAATCAAACCGACCATTTATATATGTTAAACACCATTTTTTTAAACAAAAATGTAAAGCTGGAAAGTGAACTACACATTTTAAATTCCATGTCATAAGTATTCCACAAATTAACCCCTTTTACTGAAATACACCTGTTCTTTATGTTTGTCCTTACCTTTGGTTTTTTATACACACCTATTCCCCTTAGTTCATACCGGCTCTCTAGTTTCAAAAAACCTCTGAATACTGTTGGGAAGCAAATGATTGTGTGCCTTGTACATTACCTGAGCAGTTTTTAGATCTACTAGATCGCTGAATTTCAAAGCGTGTATGTTAATAAATAGTGCGTTAGTTGGTTCGTAATAATCAAATCTATTTACAATTCTTATATCTTTTTTCTGTAGCATGGAAATGGGATTAGTGTTGGTTTTGTATGTTTCCCCAAAACTCCACACAGTAGGTAGTGTATGGAACTATGAGTGCACAATACAATACATACACAGTGAGTTTTCATTCAGGAATTCTTTAGTTTTACATAATATTGCAATGGTTTTAGACATTTTTGTTTTTACATTATTAATGTGTGGTTTCCAACATTATTTATTTATTTCAGAGTGTTCACCATAACAATACGTTTTGTTTAAATTCGTTTTTTATGCACACAAAACAAAAAACGATGTGAAATGTGATTGACATCTCTGTTCCTGCAGCGCTGTGTGCACTGGATTAGCAAAGCAGAGAAAGAAATAGGAGGGAATGTAACAAAAACAAGAGTAGTTGACCTGACAACTGTGAATATGTGTTTTAAACCAACACAATTATCTGTTTCGCTGTAGACTGCACCAACCTGAAGGATTTTTGCTTTTCTGTCAACAAGTTTCAAGTTAGTGGATGGAAAAGGACGTTAAACTCGTGGCTCCACCAGCCAATCTCCACTGCCAGACTCCAGTGCAATTACAGTATGTCAGCAGCTGTGGCAGACGCAGTAGACTGTATAAACATGGATGTAGGGACATTACCAATTGGTTCTTGAAGAAGACTCTTGAAGCCCATTGATGGCGGTTGCCAGCTGGATCTGAGGCAGGCCTTAAAATCCCCATGAAACACAACTTCCAGAGTATCAAACTGGCATGTCGAAGGCAATGCAAAATTTTGGATGGAAACTACCTCTAACACCAATGAAGAAGTTTAAGCCATGTGGTTTTGTTTGAAAAATCTGCTTGTAGACTCATCCAGGAAACGTAAACTAGTGTGCCTTATTTTTAAGAAAACAGGATTAATTGAAAGAAGTTTGAAATTGTCTTTTGTCTATTTTCTTTCTTACTTTCTTCCTTACATTCTTTCTTATTTCATTCTTCCTTTATTTCTTTATTTCATTCTTTCTTTCTTATTTCATTCTTTCTTTCTTTCTTTCTTTCTTTCTTTCATTCTTTCTTTCTTTCTTTCTTTCTTTCTTTCTTTCTTTCATTCTTTCATTCTTTCATTCTTTCTTATTTCATTCTTTCTTTCTTTCATTCTTTCTTTCTTTCTTTCTTTCATTCTTTCTTTCTTTCATTCATTCTTTCTTTCTTTCTTTCATTCTTTCTTTCTTTATTTCATTCTTTATTTCTTATTTCTTTCTTTCTTTCTTCCTTACATTCTTTCTTTCTTATTTCATTCTTTCTTTCTTTCTTTCTTTCTTTCTTTCTTTCTTTATTTCTTTATTTCATTCTTTCTTTCCTTTTTTCTTTCTTATTTCATTCTTTCTTTCTTTATTTCATTCTTTCTTTCTTTCTTTCTTTCTTTATTTCATTCTTTCTTTCTTTATTTCATTCTTTCTTTCTTATTTCTTTCTTTCTTTCTTCCTTACATTCTTTCTTTCTTATTTCATTTTTTCTTTCTTTATTTATTTATTTCATTCTTTCTTTCTTTCTTTCTTTATTTCATTCCTTCTTTCTTTCTTTCTTTCTTTCTTTCTTTCTTGTTTATTCGGTCCGTTAGGTGGCGGTAATGTTCTTTTAAGGTAATTTTCCAACCTCCAATCAAATCAGAAGTCGAAGAAGAAGCATTAGCGCTCTTGTTTTGTTCCATGGTGAGCATCTAACCTTATTTTAATAACCCTGACGTCTCCAGATGTGGAGGCTAAACAAAGTTCGTCACAAAGCTGGTCGACAAGCTGACAGCTTGGAGGAGCTCCGGTTAAAGAGGCGACAGCAGGAGAAAGGTGACTAAAAGTCCTTGTTAACGTGTTAATTTGATGTTTAGTTATAAGTTGTTTGACTGACTCCTACCCATCACTTGGAAATAAGTCTGTAACGTTATCTATGGTTAGATTATGTCCATGAACACGTCCCCGACAACCTTCGTGGTGTTCTTCTAATTGCTGAAATAAGTTGTCATGGAAATCGAAAGCTTCATAACTACGTTTAGCAACACAGTGATGCATCTGGATACAAGCTCCTGTTTGTGAAACTATACATTAAGCTGTTAATATTAACTAACTACACTTACCTCACGTATACCTCACAAAAGAGCACGCATGAAACATAGAATTTCAATCTGATCAATCAATACATTTAATTTGTATCGCGCCAATACAAATTCAAAATCTCAAGATAGTTAACAGAATAAGTTCTCAAAGTTCCTTGAGCTAAGATCAGTAACCTTCAAACCGATTGGCTTCACTTGTCATTCATACTTTTGTTATTGGTCTACTCTTTTTTTTTAGCTTTAACTTAAAGTAAAACATCATGTGGTCATTCAATGTGGAAACCACAGCCTTTAAGACAAGAAGACAGCACTTCATGTATCTTTTTGACACGCTTTAGACCTGAGACAGGCCCGCAGAGACAGACAGCTTGTGAGCAAAAGACTCCTGCTGAATGAAGATGAGGACCAATCAGAGGTCACCATGGACGCTGACTCCGGAGCGCAGGTGAGACGGGCGTCATGGTAGTGATGGGTAATGTTTTTTTTTCCCCGAAGCTCTTGTGAAAACTTTCAACCCGAGTCTGCTCTTTGTTTCCCCAGCATGTGGTCACTTTGTTTCACAAACTTCAACACAGTGGGCCAGAGAAGGAGGTCCACCTGAAGGCTTTGAGTAAAGCTCTCCGTGACCCCTCAGCACAGCTCACCTTTATCAAGTAAGGTGGAAACTTATTGAAGTTTTGACACTGTTACGACCCATAAGTCTGTTTGTCATGTGTCTAAACTGTTTCTTCCCACAGACAGGAGAACAGCATGCACCTTCTGGTTGGTCTCCTCACTGGCTCTAATGCGACATGCCGTCTACAGGCTGTGCGTTGTCTTCATGAGCTGTCTCACTCTCCACACACAAACATAGCCCCAGCATGTCTGCCGGCCACCCCCTACCTGCTCACCTACCTGTCCAACCAAAGCACCAAGTTCACTGTGAGTACCTGTGAGAACTGTCTTACTGTCTTATGTATTATCACCTATTAATGAGAGAGTGTTTTGACTTATTGTATTTGTATGTGTACACAGGAGCTGTGTCTTACACACTGGGTAACTTGTGCCCTGAAAGTGATGTTGTACAAGAGAAACTCCTTGCTCAGGGAATCATACCAGCTCTGGCTAACTGCATAGAGTAAACTTAAAGTCTATGTAGCGTAATTAAATTATTAAGATGTTATGCCTTTATTTAACCTCGATTTAAGAAGGGGCATCACTTCCTGTTAAAGGAAGAAAATAACTTTTAATGGTTAAGTTAATTAATTAATCAGTCAGTTTCATATCTTGAAAGAAGTAAGTTCTGGAAATGTTAAATGAGAAAACACACAGACAAAGTCCTGAATTTTATGTGTAAAATTTAATATAAAAGGGGGTAACAATAATGTGTAGATGAAACAGATAAAGAATATGATTACTATGATCAGGATAATGCAATTATAATGTATGGTGACATTATATATTTAGTTATGAGATAAGATGCGGTATTGTTTGAATGACTTAATCAGAAAATGGTCAAAAAGAAAAAGTTGATAAAAGTATTTGGGATTCTATTTGGATTTAAAGGAGGCTCTGAATAGACACGACTCAAGACTCAATCTTCCAACACCC